CTCGAATCGTGCGCTTTGCAAATTGTATTCATACGTCTTCATGAACATGTATTGAAAGATGCATTTTTTATTTAGAGAAGAATATGTTTCTTTTTATGAATTTAATATCAAACACAGCTACTTGTCTTCGTTAGTAAACTGGGCGGCAAAAGAAAGCATAGGTCGAGTTCCATGATCGATAAAAAAATAACAAGAAGAGGTTTTGTTGTGAATTATAATATAATCTAGGGAGGGGTAACAAATAATTGATCAACCATAGTTTGAATGAAATTGTACAATCACAGGTAAGGTAAGCTCAAGGTAGACAATGGTGGGGTAAGAAATTTCATTTTCAAAAGTTGTCTGAAATGTCACCAACAAATTGTCAGGCACACTACAAGTTCATTGTCGACACATGGCGTGTATGACCTCAAGCTGCATCATTTCATGCTGTGATACGCCGCCTCATCGACGTAGACTGGAATCCGTTGCCACTCGTCTCTCAGGGCCTGCTGCAGTTCTTGTCTGTTGACGGGAGGCTGATGGCGTGCTGTAATCTGTCTGTCAAGATGGTCCCACAGATGTTCAATAGGATTCATCTCAGGTGAGTGGGTAAGCCAGGACAAAACGTCAACGTTCTGCTGGTTTAAAAAAATGTTCCGAGTCAGTCTTGCAGTATTGGGCCTGGCATTGTCGTGTTGAAACAATGTCCCCTGCTGTTGGTTTTGTAAGAACGGAAGCACAACTGGCTGCAACACTTGGTCTCTCTACTGCACAGCGTTCAGGTTTCCCTGTATAATCACCAAATCAGTCTTCTGACCTCCACAAATACCACCCCAAACCATGACACCTCCCCCGCCAAATGGATGGACCTCTCGGATACACGCCGGAGCCAAACGTTCCCCTCTGCGTCGATAAACTCGTTCTCTGCCGTCATTTCGAAACAAGTTAAACCGACTTTCATCAGTAAACAGCACACCACGCCAATTTCACACTTGCCAGCGTCGAACCTGCCTCGCCCATCGCAGTCTCAGGCGTCGATGTCGAGCAGTCAGTACTATTTCTCGGATGAACGATACGCTCGGATTCCAGCAGCACGAAGTCGTCGTAGTACTGTACGTTTGCTAATGGGATGTCCCAACGCTGTTGCTGCCGTCGCCGTTGCCGTTACGAATCTGTTTCGCAGCTGAATGAGTCATATCTGACCGTCTTCCAGTGGTGTTGTCACTCGGGGCCGGCCGGTTCTGGGCCTGTCCTGTGTCCTCCCTGTCTGCCTGTACCGTTTGATCAGCCTTGCTACTGTCAATGATGTACAACCAAACCTTCTGGTAATTTGGACCGGTGTTGCCCCCATTTCGGCCATACCGATGGCTCTCTGCTCCTATGACAGTCGTGGCATTTTTTGTGTGTGCTTTCATCACGTGTGGTTATACCCTGCAGACGAACGCATTTATGCAGCTAATATGCACGTGCAGTTTATGCCATATGCGGGAAACCTGTTTCACCATTTTATTGTCACAGCACGAGCACCGTCAAAGATGGCGTGTTCGGGTGAGGTGTTTTTTGGTACCTGTTCCTGGGCAGTCATGTTCCCAATATCCACTTTAAACTAGTTATCGCTGTTTTTAGGAAAATTACAAATTGCCATTTACAAATTTATTTACTTATTACCCATGGCAAATGTGTTTAGTAAGTCTACAGTGATAGGAAGATGATGACCTCGTTTTTGTATTTCTGAAAATAATGTACACATTCACGTTTCAGTGAGTGAGTGAGCGAGGGGGTGAGTGAGTATTGTTCTACGCCGATTTGTGGCAATATTCCAGCAATCACGGCGAGGCCACCAGAAATTGGGAATCGAACCCGGGTCTTTCTAAACCAGGATTGAGGATTGATGGGGGAAGGGGGTAGGGTGCTGAGGTGTGGGGGATAAAGGGTTGGGTTGGTTAGGGGGCAGGGGATTGATAAGTCTGAAAAACAGGGGTTGGGGGGTTGTGGGTCGGTGTGGTAAAGGGGTGGGATGGTTGGTGAGAGATTAAGGGGTGTGGTGGTGAGGGGTGAGAGTTTCAGGGGGGGGGGGGGGGGGGGGGGGGGTTAGTGAGGGAGCAATTAAGGCTTCTGAAAAAACAGGTTTGGGTTTTGAGGGTTTGGGGGGTGGGGGTGGTGAGTGAGTGAGTGAGTGTGTGAGTGAATATGGTTCTAAGCCGAATTTGGCAATATTCCAATATCACGGTGGGAATCGAACCCGGGTGTTCAACATGACGACAGAACGCTTAAACCACTCGGCTACCCAACCGCCCCTCATGTACGTTTCAAGGTGAAACAGGTGTCATAATGGTACATAACATGAAACAAGTGATGAACACACCTCGACCAGATTGGATATTACGTTCATTTAGAGCAGCACTAATAAGACAAATCAAACCCATGACCTTGTGGATTATTACATAACCTTTTAAGCTGTCGCGCATTTGTGACATCAAAACTGTCAAACCCCACTCCGACCCCATTAACCCCACCCCCTCACTTATAAGCAGCAGAATTTATGCACTGCCCGTCGCAAAGCAGGAATATTGCTGTGTGACGTCAGGCTATAAATACTTACTTTTTCCACACAAATTATGTGAATGGCGGGTTCTACCGGTAGGGCAGGACATGCTTGGCTTTTCCGCGAACACCTGGTGTCATCACTGATTTTCAGTGACCCATTCATGTATATTCACAGCTATTTTTACCTTTGCGCCAAACTTTTCATTGGTGCAGGGAGTAATCGAGACTGGTTATTATCTTGCATTGACACCATTATAGTTACATTAACAGTACAGGTGCATACTGTGTCTGTATGTATTGTGTTTGATACAGAAACGAGGTCTTACTTTAAGACACTAACATGGACAGTGTGTACCTGCTGTCTTTGAGATGGAGGACCGCATCCGTGGTCTTGTGGTAGAGCGTCCGCCCGGAGAGCGGAAGGTCCAGGGTTCGATCCCGGGCCGCGTCATACCAAAAGACGTTTAAAGATTGTACTTGTTGTTACCCTGTCTGGCGCTCGGCATTAAGGGGCTAAAACAAGGACTGGTCGGCTCGGAGTCAGTATAGTGTGTCTGAGTGGGGTATTCATGTTAAACTGCGGCATGTTATCTCAGTGAGCTAGCACTATAAATCGGCATCAGTCCGGACTAGTACAAGCAGCCACACACACACATACACGTGCATGCACGTCGCTACATAAGTGCAATAATCTTGGACGCGACGTTAAACCCAATTTCACCTCACCTCACCTTTGAGATGGAGTATTGTCCCAACTCGAGCTTTAAAAGAAAACAAGATGTTTTGGCACAGAGGAAGATATGCTTGATATTTCAGTCTATGAAATCAGCAACTACGTCATTATAGTCCACATCAGTGAGTCTGCCTTCATGGTGAGTTACTGGTGTCCCCCGCCGTGATATTGCTGAAATATTGCTAAAAGCGGCGTAATACCATACTCACTCACTCACTCACTATGTTGTTGGAATCTTGCAGGACTCAGGAAACACAAGGACTGTGACCTAAAGTTATATATACTCTCTGTTATTACTCCTATTACTACATATATTACTCCTCAGTATATCCATAACTGCAACATTTACATAATCGACCACTTCGCTGTATATTAACATACAATACGCAGTTGATGTGAAAAACGTCGAAATTCTGCTTGGGCAACTTTGAATTACTTGATAAGTATACATTTGACGTACAGCTCTTTTCCAAAAGTAACATGTTTGTTTGTTTGTTTGTTTGTGTGTTTGTTGTTTAACGCCGAACTCAGCAATAGTCCAGCTATATGACGACAGTCTGTAAAAATTGGAGTCTGGACCAGACGGTCCAGTGATTGACATCATGAGCATCGATCCACGCAATTGGGATAGGATGACAAGCATCAACAAAGTCAGCGAGCCTGACCACCCGATTACGTGAGTCGCCTCTTATGACAAGCGTAGTCGCCTTTTAGGACTTTTAGGGGATTATGCTTGTCGTAAAAGGCGGTCACCGAAATCATTAAGAACAAAAAAATGTCGTGGAATATGAAGAAAGGAGCATGTTTGTCTACTGGAGGAAGCAGACATAATTTTGATGTTCTTTGGTGGGAAAGTGAGTTGGAAAAAATCAAAATTCTAAAAAATAAGTTATTTCAGAAATTTCGATGCATTAAATTCTAAATGGAACATATAACAGAAGTTTTTAATCTAAATTCTAAAAAAGAGTTTAAAATAAACAACAACGACAAGATGAGTTGATATCCTGTCGGAATGATTACACACAATTTTGGAAATGAATTATAACACTAAGCCTGAATATGTTTCTGATACCATGTTTGGCGAGGATCTGTTTGAGTAATTTTTTGTTTAAAACTGTCGACCTTTTTTTTTAGGAAACTAAGTAAATCGCGTTGCAGTGATGTTCTTGTTGTGGCAAGCTATTTTTTTCATTTCAAAAGTCTGAAGCAATTTTTTTTTTTTAAACATTTTCAAAAAAGTCACCACTCCCTTCCCAGAATATGGAATGGTCTTTCCAAACGGATACTGCAGCAGGGCGAGAGACACCGGGGGTTTGTTGGGGACACTGCAGGGAATCGAACAGGATGAGCAAACGCTTTGGAATAGGGCGTGTCGCAGTTTTCCTTTTCTCAAGGAGTATGTGTGCTTGTAGATCCACAGGCTTCATAAACAATACGGTGTGAAGCTGAATGTACACTGTCAATACAAGACAACAACCAGTCTGGATTATCCGCAAAAACCATCCGCTATCGACAAAGAACTCTTGGTTTTGCCTTAGAAAACCTTTACAGCTCATGCCTCAGATAATATATATATATATATATATATATATATATATATATATATATATATATATATATATATATAGGTGTGTTTACATTAAATGAATGTTGGAATACATGAGAAAATTTGTTTTATTTAACTGTATTTCTGTGCATGTGTATGACACTGTATAAATATGAAAGCCTATTTTTTTCGATATATCACACCATATGACAAAATACGAACATATATGTACTGTTTATCTTGTTTACATGTATGATACTAGATAAATATATCCAAATGTTTCTTGATGTACATCTGGCTTCAGCTACTATCTCTGTGCAAGTTGTTATCTATTCCCTGTGGTTGTAATGTTAATCTGCTGCTTGTTACAACAGGCCATGCATATATACTCCTCATCACTTGGTCGTAGTCACTCCAGCTTGATGACGTCTCAGAATCCACATCGAATCGTCAATACAATAAGAATTTGTTATCAATAAAGTTTTTTTTTTTTTTTTCTTGCAAATATATACATCGCATTCTTTTACAAAGAGTGATATACACAGAATGGATATGGCCTTTGTGCAAGATGTACAAATGATGAATTGTTTCACGACTACCACGGAAGCCCAGGAACATGGTGCTTCATACTTTGAAATACTGTGAGGACAGGAGGGGGATGTCGTCGTGGGGCAGGGCGTCCACCAGGGTCATGTTCTGAAATAGGAAACAGCGACGAAACATTGAGGGAAACACTAAGAATCAATCTACTTCAATCTACAATTTCTGCTTCAACATCCATGGACACCTCCACTTGAAGCAGCGTCAGCTGATTTTTGGAATCACCAAATCAGCGGTGTTTTGTTTTAATGATCGGTTCGTGTCGGCGTAAAGGTCTGATTTTAATGATATAGAAGCATGCCAACTTTGATTGTTTTACAGACAGTTAAATAAAACCACTCATACCTAAAGTAGTCACATTTCTTTCTGAGTACAGGTAAATGTGTTCTGAAGATCTTAGAAGGAGTCAGTGAGTTTGGTTTCACGCCGCTTTCAGCACTATTCAAGCAATACCATGACCGGGGACAATAGACAAAGATCTCAGAAGGGGTTTGTGGCAAAGGACAGGTGTGAAACAGTCAGTCATATATCTTACAAATACTAAATAAACAGATGCTGGATGAGGAATGGAATAAGTCCAGTGTTATTTAACGCGGAGGTCAACAACCTCCAGCTATTACACGGCTGTCTGTAGACCAGTGACTCGAATCATGACCCTCAACCAGCGCCATGGGGGAACGGTAACAGGCACTTTACAAATCTGGACTGAGTGAGTATGGTGTTACGCCGCTTTTAGCAATATTCCAGCAATATCACGGCGGGGGACACCAGGAAAGGGCTTCACACATTGTACCCATGTCGGGAATCGAACCCGGGTCTTCGGCGTGACAAGCGAATGCTTTAACCACTAGGCTACCCGACCGCCCGTCACAGATCTGGACAAAGGATATTGTTGTCCTATCCTACAAAGAGATAATGGCAATTGATTTTCTACAGGACCCAACAAAGTGTTGAGGTTTGGGGAAAACAATGGATTCTGAAGGTATTGGAGAGATTGGAGGACAATGTGGATCATGACATAGTTGGTCCTGTCTTACCGCTTCCCGGCACAGCTTGGGGATGTGGAATATGGAGGGGTCCCTGATGCCCCTCTGGATGTCGGAGTAGCTGAAGGTGAACACTTGGGGAACTGCAACATGAGAGACGGACACGTCAGTCAGTCAGTCAGTCAGTCAGTCAGTCAGTCAGTCAGCCAGCCAGCAAGCAATCCTACAGCTGTATCCTGGCAGTATGTGTACAGCGGGGACAAGGTAAACAGTCGGGAACAGGTAAAAAACTGGAAACAGGTAAACAGTCAGGAACAGATAATCAGGACAAGAATACAAGGGTTACCTACTTCCCACGAATGTTCCCGGATCGAGATATCCAGGGTTACCTACTTCCCACGAATGTTCCCGGATCGGGATATCCAGGGTTACCTACTTCCCACGAATGTTCCCAGATCGGGATATCAAGGGTTAACTACTTCCCACGAATGTTCCCGGGTCAGGATATCAAGGGTTAACTACTTCCCACGAATGGTCCCGGGTCGGGATATCAAGGGTCACCTACTTCCTACGAATGTTCCCGGGTCAGGATATCAAGGGTTACTTACTTCCCACGAATGTTCCCAGGTCAGGATATCAAGGGTTACTTACTTCCCACGAATGTTCCCGGGTCAGGATATCAAGGGTTAACTACTTCCCACGAATGTTCCCGGGTCGGGATATCAAGGGTTAACTACTTCCCACGAATGTTACCGGGTCAGGATATCAAGGGTTAACTACTTCCCACGAATGTTAACGGGTCAGGATATCAAGGGTCACATACTTCCCACGAATGCTCCCGGGTCGGGATATCCAGGATTACCTACTTCCCACGGATGTTACCGGGTCGGGATATCAAGGGTTAACTACTTCCCACGGATGTTCCCGGGTCGGGATATCAAGGGTTAACTACTTCCCACGAATGTTCCCGGGTCAGGATATCAAGGGTTAACTACTTCCCACGGATGTTCCCGGGTCGGGATATCAAGGGTTAACTACTTCCAACGGATGTTCCCGGGTCAGGATATCAAGGGTTAACTACTTCCCACAAATGTTCCCGGGTCGGGATATCAAGGGCTACTTACTTCCCACGAATGTTCCATGGAAGGACTCTGACAGAGGAGCGCAGGTCTTCTGTGTCCAGATGGCGCACATGGTCCCGTGAGTGTCTGCTGTCTGCTGCTTGAAGGTGTACACGTACTCCAGGGCAGGGTAGGAGGTCTCACCGAACCCCAGCCACATAAACTTCCCGTCCTGGCCTTCTACACACACAGACAAGAAGTGAGTGAGTGAGTTGGGTTTAACGCCGATTTGAACTGTATTTCAGCTATATCACGGCGTGTCAGCTTAATGTGGGAGGAAAGCTCGAAGTGATGCAGGTCTCAGACGTTTACCACTTTAGTGAAACCCACGAGAACGGGTATAGAGCTGACAATCTTAGAAACATAATCTGAATTCGATCCCGTGAGCATTGTTTCCTGGCGTGTCCAAGGGACGCAACTCTGCACAGCGAATTGCGGCGCCTCAGACACCTGGGCCACCCGTGTCCCCACAGAGACAAGGATGCACTCAGATATCATTACAGTAATGTTACAACTTCCTGAACGCGTCGGTGTGATCTGCAGCAGGGGTGCATCCAGAGAGCAATGGAGGCATGTCACAAAACTTGTCATGCATGTAGGCTGTGGATTGTGGCGGCATCGATATCGACTGTGAATACTATACAGCTCGACACAGAAATGCAACATATAAGTATAACACAAACCCATGACAGTGTCACAGGGCACAAAACCAGTACAGAATTATGACACAAACTCGCGATGCCGGCTGTGAACACTTGCTCATGACACAGCCTACTTCCGCCGGCTGATGATACAGTCGACTCTTGACAAAGGCCCATGCCACGGACTCACGGCACATTCTCATGACACATGACAAAGACTCATGACACGGACTCACGGCACAGTCTCATGACACATGGCAAAGGTTCATGACACGGACTCAAGGCACAGACACATGACACATGACAAAGGCTCATGACACGGACTCACGGCACATTCTCATGACACATGACAAAGGCTCATGACACGGACTCAAGGCACAGTCTCATGACACATGATAAAGGCTCATGACACGGACTCACGGCACAGACTCATGACACATGACAAAGGCTCATGACACAGACTCACGGCACAGTCTCATGACACATGGCAAAGGCTCATGACACGGACTCACGGCACAGTCTCATGACACATGACAAAGGCTCATGACACGGACTCACGGCACAGTCTCATGACACATGACAAAGGTTCATGACACGGACTCAAGGCACAGTCTCATGACACATGACAAAGGCTCATGACACAGACTCACGGCACAGACTCATGACACATGACAAAGGCTCATGACACAGACTCACGGCACAGACACATGACACATGACAAAGGCTCATGACGTGGACTCACGGCACAGTCTCATGACACATGACAAAGGCTCATGACACGGACTCACGGCACAGTCTCATGACACATGACAAAGGCTCATGACACGGACTCACGGCACAGTCTCATGACACATGACAAAGGTTCATGACACGGACTCAAGGCACAGTCTCATGACACATGACAAAGGCTCATGACACAGACTCACGGCACAGACTCATGACACATGACAAAGGCTCATGACACAGACTCACGGCACAGACTCATGACACATGACAAAGGCTCATGACGTGGACTCACGGCACAGACACATGACACATGACAAAGGCTCATGACGTGGACTCAAGGCACAGACACATGACACATGACAAAGGCTCATGACACAGACTCAAGGCACAGACACATGACAGATGACAAAGGCTCATGACACGGACTCAAGGCACAGACTCATGACACATGACAAAGGCTCATGACGTGGACTCAAGGCAAAGACACATGACACATGACAAAGGCTCATGACACAGACTCATGACACATGGCAAAGGCTCATGACACGGACTCACGGCACAGACTCATGACACATGACATAGGATCATGACACGGGCTCACGGCACAGTCTCATGACACATGACAAAGGCCCATGCCACGGACTCACGGCACAGTCTCATGACACATGACAAAGGCTCATGACACAGACTCACGGCACAGACTCATGACACATGACAAAGGCTCATGACACAGACTCACGGCACAGACACATGACACATGACAAAGGCTCATGACGTGGACTCACGGCACAGTCTCATGACACATGACAAAGGCTCATGACACGGACTCACGGCACAGTCTCATGACACATGACAAAGGCTCATGACACGGACTCACGGCACAGTCTCATGACACATGACAAAGGTTCATGACACGGACTCAAGGCACAGTCTCATGACACATGACAAAGGCTCATGACACAGACTCACGGCACAGACTCATGACACATGACAAAGGCTCATGACACAGACTCAAGGCACAGACTCATGACACATGACAAAGGCTCATGACACAGACTCACGGCATAGACTCATGACATGACACATGACATAGGATCATGACACAGACTCCACACACAGGCAACTTACTTGGTGAACACAGTTCAGTGAAAGGTTCTGGGAGGGGCTTGACCTTGCAGCCTCCATCTTCAAGGACGTAAAGCGTTTTCTGAAACACAGTGGCATTGGTTGACAGTGATTGTGCGCATCAATTCCCTACCGCCCCACCTCAATCCTGTACCCGCTTATTGTACCATCCACCACTCGCTCATGTATTAATAGCAAGTCGCAAGCTAAATGGACAGGACTGTAATGTGTGTATCACATATCACACTGAGGCAAGGGTTTGGGTAAAATAGTTTGTCACATCAGCAGTCCTGACGCCACATAGTGACGACATGAGAACAAATCCAATCAATCTCAATCTATCAACTGACCATATCAATATATTAACTTGTAGAATGTATACATCAATATATACAACTGACCATATGAATATATCAACTTGTAGAATGTTTTAAAACATTTTAACAAGTACTCGTCTGAAACAGCTGTGGCTTCGTCGTTTCAGCACCAGAACCGTCAGGAACCGGCTGAAAGCAGCAGGACTCAGGCCAAGACGAGTCATAAAGCGTCCCTTTTTGAGAGATCACCACATAGCTGTTAGTTTAGCATGGTGTTTTGCGCGACAGAACTGGAATCTGAGAACTTGGGGAAACTGAGAACATTGGAGAACTGAGAACAGACGAAAGTCGCTTTCTTCTCCACGCCACTGATGGAAGGAAGAACGTTAATTTGGAGGCATCGGAATACGGCCCACACCCCAGGAACATTAAACCGCTGTTGCATACGGCGAGGGCTCGGTAATGGAGGTGTATCTCTTACTTCTATGACTGATGGACTGTATGGCAGTGTTACCTACATGTTTGAAGTCCTGTATCGCTGTCAGGAGGCGTTTCCTTGCTCCTACTGATGTGTTGGCCACAGCCACCACCATCGGCCCGTCAGCATTGTAGTGCAGATTGATCTTGGCCTGCATATAGAAGTTCATACGTGGGGTAATACAATAGTCCTTACACAGGCCTGTGCAGGTTGATCTTGGCCTGCATATAGAAGTTCATACGTGAGGTAATACAATAGTCCTTACACAGGCTTGTGCAGGTTGATCTTGGCCTGCATATAGAAGTTCATACGTGAGGTAATACAATAGTCCTTACACAGGCCTGTGCAGGGTGATCTTGGCCTGCATACAGAAGTTCATACGTGAGGTAATACAATAGTCCTTACTCAGGCCTGTGCAGATTGATCTTGGCCTGCATATAGAAGTCTATACGTGAGTTAATACAATAGTCCTTACACAGGCCTGTGCAGGTTGATCTTGGCCTGCATATAGAAGTCTATACGTGAGTTAATACAATAGTCCTTACACAGGCCTGTGCAGGGTGATCTTGGCCTGCATATAGAACTTCATACGTGAGGTAATACAATAGTCCTTACACAGGCCTGTGCAGATTGATCTTGGCCTGCATATAGAAGTTCATACGTGAGGTAATACAATAGTCCTTACACAGGCCTGTGCAGGTTGATCTTGGCCTGCCTATAGAAGTCCATACGTGAGGTAATACAATAGTCCTTACACAGGCCTGTGCAGGTTGATCTTGGCCTGCATATAGAAGCTCATACGTGAGGTAATACAATAGTCCTTACACAGGCCTGTGCAGGGTGATCTTGGCCTGCATATAGAACTTCATACGTGAGGTAATACAATAGTCCTTACACAGGCCTGTGCAGGTTGATCTTGGCCTGCATATAGAAGTTCATACGTGAGGTAATACAATAGTCCTTACACAGGCATGTGCAGGTTGATCTTGGACTGCATATAGAAGCTCATACGTGAGGTAATACAATAGTCCTTACACAGGCCTGTGCAGGTTGATCTTGGCCTGCATATAGAAGTCCATACGTGAGTTAATACAATAGTCCTTACACAGGCCTGTGCAGGGTGATCTTGGCCTGCATATAGAAGTCCATACGTGAGTTAATACAATAGTCCTTACACAGGCCTGTGCAGGTTGATCTTGGCCTGCATATAGAAGTCCATACGTGAGTTAATACAATAGTCCTTACACAGGCCTGTGCAGGTTGATCATGGCCTGCATATAGAAGTCTATACGTGAGTTAATACAATAGTCCTTACACAGGCCTGTGCAGGTTGATCTTGGCCTGCATACAATAGTCCTTACACAGGCCTGTACAGGTTGATCGTGGCCTGCATAAAGAAGTCTATACGTGAGTTAATACAATAGTCCTTACACAGGCCTGTACAGGTTGATCTTGGCCTGCATATAGAAGTCTATACGTGAGTTAATACAATAGTCCTTACACAGGCCTGTGCAGGTTGATCTTGGCCTGCATATAGAAGTCTATACGTGAGTTAATACAATAGTCCTTACACAGGCCTGTGCAGGTTGATCTTGGCCTGCATATAGAAGTCTATACGTGAGTTAATACAATAGTCCTTACACAGGCCTGTACAGGTTGATCTTGGCCTGCATATAGAAGTCTATACTTGAGTTAATACAATAGTCCTTACACAGGCCTGTACAGGTTGATCTTGGCGTGCATATAGAAGTTCATACGTGAGTTAATACAATAGTCCTTACAAAGGCCTGTGCAGGTTCAGAAATGGGCCTGTGTGAAGGTTCATACATTCGTTAAAACACAGTTCATAAATTGGTTCTGCACAGATTCATAAATGGTTTTATTTTGGTTTATAATTTGTCAATATAGGTGCATACATGTTTTTTCTGTGTAGCTTCAAACTTGCTCAGTGTAGGGTCATGAACCAAGGTCAGTGTAGGAACATACATGGGTCTGTGTAGGTGGATAAATGAGCCATTGCGGGCTCATACCATGGTCTGTGTAGGTTCATACCATGGTCTGTGTGGGGTCATACCATGGTCTGTGTAGGTTCATACCATGGTCTGTGAAGGTTCATACCATGGTCTGTGTAGGTTCATACCATGGTCTGTGTAGGTTCATACTATGGTCTGTGTAGGCTCATACCATGGTCTGTGTAGGTACATACCATGGTCTGTGTAGGTTCATACAATGGTCTGAGTAGTTTCATACCGTGTTTTTTGGAGGTTCATACCATGGTCTGTGTAGGTTCATACCACGGTCTGTGTAGGTTCATACCACGGTCTGTGAAGGTTCATATCATGGTATGTGTAGGTTCATACCATGGTCTGTGTAGGTTCATATCATGGTCTGTGTAGGTTCATACCATGGTCTGTGTAGGTTCATACCATGGTCTGTATAGGTTCGTTACCGTTATACACCTCGCAGTGAATTAGTTGGGATTGTGTTGGCTACTGGGTTAACAACAAACACTGTACTACACAATAGTATTACCGTTATTCATCCCGCAGTGAATTAGTTGGGATTGTGTTGGCTTCTGTCTGAACGAAAAACGCTGTACTACACAATAGTATTACCGTTATTCACCTCACAGTGAATTAGTTGGGATTGTGTTGACTTCTGTCTGAACAACAAACACTGTACTACACAATAGTATTACCGTTATTCACCCCGCAGTGAATTAGTTGGGATTGTGTTGACTTCTGTCTGAACAACAAACACTGTACTACACAATAGTATTACCGTTATTCACCCCGCAGTGAATTAGTTGGGATTGTGTTGGCTTCTGTCTGAACAACAAACACTGTACTACACAACAGTATTACCGTTATTCACCCCGCAGTGAATTAGTTGGGATTGTGTTGGCTTCTGTCTGAACAACAAACACTGTACTACACAATAGTATTACCGTTATTCACCTCGCAGTGAATTAGTTGGGATTGTGTTGGCTACTGGGTTAACAACAAACACTGTACTACACAATAGTATTACCGTTATTCACCCCGCAGTGAAATAGTTGGGATTGTGTTGGTTACTGGGTGAACAACAAACACTGTACTACACAACAGTATTACCGTTATTCACCCCGCAGTGAATTAGTTGGGACTGTGTTGGCTACTGGGTAAACAACAAACACTGTACTACACAACAGTATTACCGTTATTCACCCCGCAGTGAATTAGTTGGGATTGTGTTGACTTCTGTCTGAACAACAAACACTGTACTACACAATAGTATTACCGTTATTCACCCCGCAGTGAATTAGTTGGGATTATGTTGGTTACTGTCTGAACAACAAACACTGTACTACACAATAGTATTACCGTTATTCACCCCGCAGTGAATTAGTTGGGATTGTGTTGGTTACTGGGTTAACAACAAACACTATACTACACAATACTATACCGTTATTCACCCCGCAGTGAATTAGTTGGGATTGTGTTGGCTGCTGTGTGAACAACAAACACTGTACTACACAATACTATACCGTTATTCACCCCGCAGTGAATTAGTTGGGATTGTGTTGGCTACTGGGTTAACAACAAACACTGTACTACACAATAGTATTATCGTTATTCACCCCGCAGTGATAGGGGATGGATGGTGTCGGCGACTTGGTATGCAAATGCATCACCGGTGTGCCTAAGTTATGAAACATTCATCCAAGGACTTTGACATTGTTTAATCACACAACTATATTTCGTTGTTATGTGGCAAATGCCAATGCTACACCACCTCAATTAAAAACATAACTCGTATCCGAATATATATATTCCACGATATTGAACAAGAAGCAACATGGCCACTGAGTTTGTCCACCAACATGTGTGTGTCGTTGGTGCAGGGAGAGGTGTCATTTAGTGTGTACATCCTCCACGCTCCTATGACCCCACGACAACCTCCCATCACCGTCTCCCGACCTGCTTGCTGCCGCTGTTGGTGCAGGGAGAGGTGTCATTTAGTGTGTACATCCTCCACGCTCCTATGACCCCACGCCAACCTCCCGTCACCCTCTCCCGACCTGCTTGCTGCCCTGTCTTGCTTTATGACCTCACAGCTGAGGAGTGCTCCATGTGTTACGCTTGAACACGCTTCGTCAGCTGGCCTTGTACAGGATGGAAGGATCTCGAACTGCAAATGATTCGGTTAAAGTGTTTGTCGGTAGAGCGTGTCACGTGTCTCCCGTTATTTCTGTCTGTTTCAGTGATCATGAACCTTGTTAATGCAGACGTGGTTTCGGAATAAAGAGGTTGTGCTGTAGAGAGGTTTCTTGTTGTGCACAACTTCACCTCTGACAACACTTCTTTATTTAGTCACAGTCGATGTGCACGTTCAAACATGTTACACAGTAGGACGTCATTAGTCAGTATCTCGCGAATCCAGAAACCCATGTTGTTGGGTTTGGCGGTGGGATAGCTTAGAGGTTAAAGTGTTCGCTCATCACGACTTATACCCTGTTCGATTCCCCATCTGGCTGCGATGTGTGAAGCCCATTTCGGGTGTCTCACGCCGTATTAATGTGGCCCGCTAAGTACACCGACTACTACTACTAATACCACTACTACTACTACTGCTACTACTACTACTACTACTACTAGTAGTACTATTTGTACTTCTACTACTACTAATACTATATGTGATAAAACTACCAGGTAGTGTAAACTTTTCGGCATAATATATTCGTTGTGATGTCTTCGAAGTTTTATACATGGCGTCATATTAGGACAGTACACGCATTATACGAGATTAATAGAGACAGTTTACTATGTTTTAATTGTTCTATTGTCATCCTGGCGATATATCAGGCCCGAGCAGGGATGCTCGTGACAGCTTCATCATTCTGCACGATGTCACCAGCACGCTGGCCGTAGACACAGATAGCGCTGTAAGAGATTTTCCGTACATTACACAACTTCTGAACAGGTTGTTCAACTCCGTTCTGATGTCCCCGAAACCTTGTTTTAAAGAGAGTTTGACTCAGCACATTCAAGTTGCGTTTAAATACAAGTGACGGTACTTACCTGTATAAGCTCCGGTCTCTTGTGGGTGGCTCCCGCCAACTGACCCCCGAGCCTCACGCCCCACCCCTCCCACTGCCTGGGGGCACAGCATCTCCCCTCAAGCAGGTTGACATGGACGACGGACAGAAACACCACCACCAGCAACATCGTGACTGCCTCCTGCACAAACGTGTTGACTGCGAAAACAGGCTTGTTACAACTTTAACTTTCATCACGTGATCTCCCCCCGGTCTACATTTTGACAGGGCCTGGTGGGGTCAGGCCGAGGCTTGCTGCTGTGAATCACGGAGTTATATAACTCGATGTGGTATAGAGTTTACGAAAGGTTATCACACCATTGTTAGTTCAACAATGACAATATGACTCTCTCAGTAACTATTTTGTTGGTGCCAGGATTTTGGTTTGAAATTTGCATTCATTTTATGTTCATGAACACACTCCATTTAAAGGAAGAGAATATATATATATATGGCTACGTCTATACACAACCCACACATCAAACAAAATGATAAAATCTTAATTCTAAAAGACTCGCTAAGCGGATCCAAGCAATTGAAAACAAAAATACCCCAAACCAATCTAAGCTAATAAACCAAATACTAAAGAGCACATAACAACTAAATACCCTTGGTAAACAATTATAATTCCTTTGGTTCAGTGCTATTTATTACGCACAAAAATTACAACCAATGTAAAAACAACAAAACAACAAATCACAGGACTCCCACTTTCTCTTAGTCCATCCACCCCTGCAAAATTAAGAATTCAAAATACTTCAAAATCTAGATCACCTCCTTCTCAGGCTTCTTCTTCTTCAGGTCAAGCACTTCCGGTCAAGCACTTCCGGTCAAGCACCTCTTTCATTTTTTTGGAAAACCTCTCCCTGGCGGGCGGGAGTTGTCTAAGGCGCCGCGATTCGCTGTGCAGAGTCGCCAGAAACCTATGATTGTGGGTTCGAATCCCGGTTCGCCAAAATTATGTTTCTAGGTTTGTCAGTACCATACCCGTTCTCGTGGGTTTCACCGAAGTGGTAAACGTCTGAGACCTGCAATACTTTGGGCTTTCCTCGAACATTAAGCTGTCACGCCGTGATATAACTGGAATACTGTTAAAAACGGCGTTAAACCCGACTCACTCACTCACTCCAGCTCTACCCTTTAGTATTACAACCAGTGAAATTGCTATTCTGTTTCACGTTCTATTATCATTCTATATGCCATGTAGTGCTATTCTCTTGTAGCCTGTATTGTCCATTCAATACTGCTTCATTGGAACCGTTCCTATTCTTATTGTTAAAGTATATGTGAGTCCCGTGATGGGATTCGATCCACGGACCTTCTGATCAGAGGGCGGACGCCTTGTCCACATGACGAAAGAAGTTAACCCTGTCAGCCGGCTGACAAGGCAAGGATGTCATCTGTGGGATGACTCCACACCCTGCTACATATAACACAAGCATACTACATAGGGAGGAGTTGATGTAGTGTGATTTTAGTTCACAGGCTTAATCACTGACGGTTGAACAGAGCTATTAGAAGCTAACAATCGGGTGGTCAGCTGTACTGAGGCTTGGTAAAAAGAGCATGCTCGATTGTATCCCCCTTTATTTCCAGTTCAGGTAAATCAGTGGAAAGGACTTGGCCATTAGATTGTTATGGAATGATATCAGATCATCGATATACCTGAAGCTTAAGATAAACTTCTTGGCCAAATTACCTTGTTTTGACTTTGCCAATCCGAGCCGAAATTCATATTCATATTCATAGTGACAAAAACTATCCACAACTTTTCAATGGTCAGCATTCCCTTTATGGCCTTCTTACATTTCACAAATTTTGAGGTTCATAGAGCAAGCTTATCTACGAAGATTTCAAAGAGCGTTATACGATTGATTAGAGTCAATTCCTTAGTAATGCTTTCACAAATGGTAGAAATGTGATACATCAGTTTCCAAAATCATGTTCAAAGGCAAATCCCTATTTCGACTAATCTTGTACAACATCTTCCCGTGTTTGCTCAGGAAAACACATTACATTACAATCGTCTTTTCGCGGACACCCATGAACAGTTGATAGTCATTCACATTCACATGATACAGTCGGAATCAAAGAGTTGAACGGGTGTTGTCACTTTAAGCCATTGAATGATAGTATCTAGCATATTAAAGGTGTTATCTGAGGGTATGCTTGCGGCGCGATTTGATTGAAGAATGTGTCTTTTCCTTGCCACACGGATATGAAACTGGACACACGCACATTGATGCAAAATAATCCTTGTGTATTTATAAGCTCACCTGTAGAAAATGAACAACAGCCCCATTAACAGATCTAAAATGACAATATTTATCATACCTCCATGTTAGAATGATGAGATCTGATTTGTCCACGTGATCTTGATAAAATACCATCTACATATATATTTTTCAGCGGGAGAATGAATCTCGTACACCTCGCCACGAACAAGACAGGCTGCACGCGGATTTCTGAAAGGCATATATCCCGAGATGAATTTGTTAGAGCTGGATCAATCTAGGTACGGGCAGTCGGGTAACCTGGTGTTTAAAGTGTTCGCTCGTCACGCCGAAGACCCAGGTTCGATGCCCGACATGGGTACAATGTGTGAAGCCTATTTCTGGTGTCCCCCGCCGTCATATTGCTGGAATATTTCTAAAAGCGGCCTAAGACCATAGTCCCTCACTCACTCATAGCACATCGGGTTTTATGCCTTCCGCGTTAAGTCTTAAACCACGAGCCGGCTTCAACTTATAGTGTATACGGCAGTATTGGGCTTTGGAGATTACCTTAAAGTCACATTTCACAGAAGATAGTACTTTAAAGTTCTATCTCATTTCTGACATAGCATTCTGAACAGAGCATGCCCACTATGTACATATCAACATGGTCTGTTTTTAGTTTCTGAGCTAACCGTTTCTGGAGAGAACACGATCGTGTAACCATATAGCTCATAAACACTCATGTCATTATGTATTGGCATGTTGCCTTAATACTGACGTTAGACATCTGCTAAAACAGCAACACCTATTTAATTTAATCCATACCCAAATCTAAGTTCGAACTCAGTGATGGTTATATTTGTCCTCATTTGAGTTTAATACCACTAGCCAATGCTACAACGAATTTATCATGCATAAATCTACCAGAGTAAAAGCACTATAACAAATTGAAAAATTATTCATTGACTCGCAAACATCATGCAGCATTGCAGTGGGGTATGACGGATACCCCCACCCTAAGAAATTCACGTGCAGCCTCTTTCCTTCCTTGCGGGGTGTACGAGATTTATTCTCCCTCACATAAATTTAATTTCCCCGTCCCAGGCGGGATACATTGTATTTTAAACCAATCAGATCTTAACTCTCTTCCATCGAGGGGGAGTACTGCTTGTAGTGCATGACCTACTTTCTGACCGTCCCTGGCAGCGTAATGTGTCACGTGGTCCGCATATCACGAGACTTTCCCGTTTTACCTAAGGTGTGTGCTTGTCACAAAGTTGTGATTCACAGCTGGCCATATATGTGACAAACCTTCAGTCCAACCCCGCATACACTGGCAACCCTCAACTCTGTAGTTTCTACAGATGTTAGTTCATAGTATTTTTCACATCTTGGTGTGTTTATCTAGAGAATCTCACCCGAGTGTCTTTTGATATCAAATATATCAACACGAGTTGATAAAAGTGGAAAATTCCGAGGCTTGCCGATATATTTGATATCAAAAGACACGAGGGTGAGATTTTATTTATCATCCAACATCATTCTTCCAACTTTTTCAATTTGTTGACAGTAATTAGCAGTGTTTTCAGTGTAAAAAGTACGGCTAACAGCTTCAGTAGCGGAGTCATTAGTGATGTCATTTGATTGTGACGTTATGGTAACCGGTGACGTCACAATGGTCTGCAAAGCATTGTGATGTAATTTCATTACATCGATATCTACAGTGTAGATATAGCATGATCTAATTCAAGCGATATCTCCTGTGGGAGCCAGTTTTGGATGATAAAATCATGTCCTTCGTGTATAGAAAAAAAAGTGACAAAATTCTGTCCATATTCAAAAGAAATCTTGAGTCAATTATACGATTCTGACTATGTTTGTGAATCACTTTCACATAGAACTGATACCAGGTGTTCGCGAAAAGGTGAGCGTATCCTGCCCTTCTGGTGGGACCCGTCACAAACACAGTCAAAGGCAAGGCAATTGTTCCCCTGAAAAAAACACGTGAACATATGGTACAAGTCGAAATAGGGAATTGCATCAGACATCATTTTTGTCTTTGATGCGTCAAATTTTGAAATATCCTCCACATTCCTACCATAAAATATTTTGAAAGCTGTGCTGAAACCTTAAATGTTGTAACCTTGATTAAAAACATGGGGGATTTGAAAATGTCATCCCTGTTGATGCTGCGTTAACATATGACAAGCAGGGGACTCAATCTAAGCTAAATTCTGAAAATGGCAATTCAGAAGATTTCAAAACATTCAACATTATCAATTCAAAGAAAGTAGAGAATTTAAAGGAGCAAGGAATTAAGAGCCATTTGCTAAATGTATGCTTGTGAATAATATACAGTGCTAGCTGCTATAAGCCTATGTCAAATGTGTAGGTACTGAATAATATACAGTAATGGCTGCTATAAGTCTATGCTAAATGTATACATGCTAAATAATATACAGTGGTAGTTGGTATACGTCTATGCTAAATGTGTACATGCTAAATAATGTACAGTGCTAGCTGCTGTAGGTCTATATCGTGTGTCGACACTTGAAGCTGGGTTGCCGAGTGAGGTATGTGATTCTGTCTGGCATCATAGTACAGGCAAGTATGTCTTTATTTTGTCCGCCAGCTTCACCAACCCTGTAAACGTGACTTCAGAAGGTGAGATCAAACACACATCTTATAATTTGAAGGAATCTTTCTGACCATTAATTGTGAAGATTATTTTGAGCTTAATACCTTTTTGATTTTCTTCCTACATTTTTCTGAACATCGTTTATTGCATAATGAAAATTTGAAATTCGTACTGAGGAAGAAAACTACCTTTGAAATGAGTATAATACTCTCTCGGGGTGGCTTTCTCCTTCTGCTCGTCACGGCGTGACTTTCTCCTTCTGCTCGTCACGGCGTGACTTTCTCCTTCTACTGCTCGTCACGGTGTGACTTTCTCCTTCTACTGCTCATCACGGCGTGACTTTCTCCTTCTACTGCTCGTCACGGCGTGACTTTCTCCTTCTACTGCTCGTCACGGCGTGACTTTCTCCTTCTGCTGCTCGTCATGGTGTGACTTTCTCCTTCTACTGCTCGTCACGGCGTGACTTTCTCCTTCTGCTCGTCATGGCGTGACTTTCTCCTTCTACTGCTCGTCACGGTGTGACTTTCTCCTTCTGCTGCTCATCACGGCGTGACTTTCTCCTTCTACTGCTCGTCATGGTGTGACTTTCTCCTTCTACTGCTCGTCACGGCGTGACTTTCTCCTTCTACTGCTCGTCATGGTGTGACTTTCTCCTTCTACTGCTCGTCACGGCGTGACTTTCTCCTTCTACTGCTGGTCACGGTGTGACTTTCTCCTTCTACTGCTCGTCACGGCGTGACTTTCTCCTTCTACTGCTCGTCATGGTGTGACTTTCTCCTTCTATTGCTCGTCACGGCGTGACTTTCTCCTTCTATTGCTCGTCACGGTGTGGCTTCGCATTTAAACTGAAGCGGGCAAACAAAGGTTAGGTGTTTTTCATGAAATTTCAAAAGACATCCCACATCCTGAACACGATCCCGTGGTTTTCCCGGGTTGTACTTTGGTATAGTCTGGTTTATACACAATACCATAAACTGACATCATATTCATATTTCACACATCATGTATTAACTAATTATTGTCTTTCACATATATTTATCAATATCACTGAGCATTTATTTTCCTAAGTGTATAATGTAGTATGAAAACATTCTCAGGAGAGGTCAAATGATGAGGTTACTTTTTTATTTTGTTTCGCTTACATTTCATCTGTTAGGGGTACGACTAGGATTACATACAATATTATGTGGCAACTTTCCTGCATTGGATATAATTGTCTGCAACGGTCAATGTACTTACCAACTGGAAGAAACTAGCTCATGTTCCATATATTTACATACAAAGAATTTTGAACCTAGTGTGAAAGCCAACAAACGACCAAGAATTGGTATACAATCAACAAATGTATTACAAAAAATCACTAAGTATACAAATCAATAGACATTACTGCATAGTGTTTACAATGACAGTAAACAATAAAGTGAGTGAGTGAGTGAGTTGGATTTAACGCCGCTTTTAACAGTATTCCAGGTATATCACGACGTGTCAGCTCAATGTGGAAGGAAAGCCCGAAGTGATGCAGGTCTCAGACGTTTACCACTTCGGTGAAACCCACGAGCACGGGTATGGTGCTGACAAACCTAGAAACATAATTTTGGCGAACCGGGATTCGAACCCACAATCATAGGTTTCTGGCGTGCCCAAGGGACGCAACCCTGCACAGCAAATCGCGGCTCCTTAGACGACTGGGCCACCCGTGCCCACAGTAAACAATAGAGTGGTAGAACAATATTCAATGGCAATAAATAATATGATGGCAGTGGTCAGTGTCAAATACGAAAATACAGTGGTCAGACAGGGAGTCAGAGATGATGAGCGATCCTCACATGAAAGCTGGTTCCGAAGCGATAAAAAGCGTGAGAGACGAAATGTGTCAGAGATAGCTGAACATGTTCTTGTCCCACTTTATATACAGCCTACATGAACAATCTAATAGAACCGTCTATCCCGTGCCCTAAACCATGTAGATCATTACGAAAATTTCGGTTACATACTATCACTAGCATCTAAATACCGGAACTTCCTGACGACTGATCTATGTCCAATTGTAATGCCACGAGCGTTGTCCGAAATCAGCAGAAACAATGCAACACAGCGACAATCATTGTTCAACAATAAAATACACTGCCATCTAACAATAAACATATATGTATATTTTTCAGAGGACGATGAATCCTATCCCACTGTTGGTGTTGTTTGTGTCAACATTCGTGATCGAGAACTTGACAATGACCTATTCAAGGAAGCCGTTTGGCCCGAAAATGTGTGACCAGTTTTGTCGACAGGTAAAGCAGTGCACCGCCGTCTCGTTCTCCGCAGAACAACTGTCATGTCAGCTGTTACTAAAAAGGGTTGAGGTAAGCATTATCATTTCTTTTTGAAACCACCTGTATTTGTGTCAGAAGTTTCTGATTTTAGCAACTGTAACCCACATAAGGCAAATGACATGCAAGACCTACATGACATACTTGATACACATGACCAAGATGCTATACATAGACCCAAATGACCCACATGACGAACATGACACACATGACATGCATGACACATAGGTCATGTACATAGATGCACGATACCCATGACTTACAAGATTCATATGGCACACATGTTACACATCGCTCTCATGACACAAATGGTACAAATGGCACACATGACACATTTGATACACATGTCACACAGGACACACACGAAATACACGACACACACGATTGAAATGACACACGAAACACACGATACATAACCATATGACACACGCGACACACACGACATACACGACACACGATTGACATGACACACACGACATACTTGACACACACGACACACATTGCAAACGCGACACACACAACCTACAAGACACACCCGAGATACACCAGAGATTAATATGACACACACACACACACAGGACACTACATGACACACATAGCACAACTATATGGCACATATGACACGCATGACTGAGTGAGTGAGTAGAGTTTTATGCCGCTTTAAGCAATATTACAGCAATATCACGACGGGGGATAGCAATAATGGGCTTCACACATTGTACCCATGTTAGGAATCGAACCCGGTTCTTCGGCGTGACGAGCGACCTCTTTAACCACTAGGCTACCTGACCGCCCCAACATCTACATCTGATAAGTTTAGTTGGCGGTGGGTGGACTTGTAGCAAAAGCGTCGAAAGCTCGGGTTCGGTTCTCCACCATGGTACAATGTGTATAACTCTCTCGTATTGACATGGCTGGAATATTGCTATTAGGGGTGTAAATAATCACTCACTCACTCACTCACGCACTCACGCACTCACTATAACACCCACCAACCGACCCGCTCACTCACTCACTCACTCACTAAAACACCCACCCACCTACCCACTCACTCACTCACTCACTCACTCACTCACTCACTCACTCACTCAAGAAGGGTCACAACACAACTTCAACAGACGAAATATGTTCTTTTGATTTACAGAAGACAGAGAAGAAGAACAACACAATCATCAGCAATCAGAACATGGTTATGCGGGGCAGCCCTGAAGGTTCAGAACGTAAGAAGTTTTCCCCAAAGCAATCTTTACAGTAACATGAGGATACACAGATGATTCATAACGTCTTTTTTGCAGTTTCCATTCATCCTGATTGATCAGCATCAAAGATATATTCGTAGGATTCTCCAACATAATCAAATGTCTTCACCTACATTTCTCAGACAAACCATTGCTTAACTAAAGTGGCATTAAACCCAACTCACTCACTCATTCATTTTATGTCAATGTAGACACAATTTTATGGATAACAACGTCTTGTATACTGTAAAAAGCGACGTTTCGGTATAAATCATTATACCGTTGTCAAGCAGGACTGAATGAGGGACAAAGTACAGAGTAGGTTTAGTATGTGGAGGATTAACAGTAGAGGGTTAACAGCAACAACAACTGAATACATTGGTAGGTGTTGACACCAAGGGAATGCGTTATACATTGCACACCTTCAACTATATCGATCGCTATCTATTCATTGTTTACATGTCAGACATTTACACAGATTGACTGATGTAATTTCTTGTTGGTGAAGTTCAAGAAATGGTTCATAGCAGATAAATCACCAAAGCAAATGAAAGGGCACTACTGCAGTAGTCCCGTTTCTGAGAGCCAAATATAAATCCACTGAGACTTTGCCTTGTTATGTTGGTGTCACACCCATTGACGGAATGCCGTAGCAATTTATTCTCTATAATAAGATTAGTTTTAATTTCTAAACTTTGACTGAATGAAGACCCGCTAATACCACAAATAACAATTACAAGAATCACACAACAATCTCCGAGGTTTAAAGCTAGATTTATCAATTAAAACACAGATAAGCATAAAACAATTCTCAGTTACTGGGCAAAGCACTAATATACAAATCTATTTAGGCAAAGCAATATGGCAAATGTGCAATATAGATAATAGTCACCTCAGATTTCTTGACATCACATTCCCAATGAATTCCATTTCACATTGTTCCAAACTTATGTATCACAGTTCACAGGATAACTGGGTAACCACAGTTTCCTCCTTCGAAGCGTTGACATGACCTTCTAACTTTGTCTCCGGACATAACGCTGGGCTGAACTGCCCTCGTTCAGTTAAACAATATTTCTCACTCTCCAATTCTTTTTCCTTCCCCCTTTCTGTTCGATAACTTGCCCTCATAGAGTAAACAAATTTCCAAGTAAGCTACCTACTTGAACATACAACAAAAGGTTGATCGGCCCACACCAATCAGTTACCAAGCCAACTCAAACTCCAATCACCCCACAAACACGCTTCTCCCCGTCAGGCCGCTTGCTTAACTTATTCAAGCATGACGCCGTTCACCCAAACTGGACCCCTTGTGAACCACACAAATATACAACGTCACTCATAACAACTCCTTCAACTATATCGATCGCTATCTATTGATTGTTTTCATGTCAGACATTTACACAGATGGACTGATGTAATTTCTTGTTGGTGGAGTTCAAGAAATGGTTCATAGCAGATAAATCACCAAAGCAAATGAAAGGGCACACAGAATTGCTATGGAATTACAATGCCTCAGTGGTCCCATTGCTGAGAGCCAGATATATAGCATGAAGTGATCGGTGTCCATGGCCAACAAGCACTGAGACTTTGTCTTGTTATGTCGGTGTCACTCCCATTGACGGAATGCCGTGGCAATGTATTCTCTATAATACGAGTTGTCGTGTAGTTGAGTTGTGAAACTTTGACTGAATGAAGACCAGGGTTCGAGTCCCAATGGGTACACTGTCTGGGCATCCCTTACTCTGACATGACTGATTCTACTTATAAATAAAGCGATGCAGCGACATGTTTCCCGATCTCATTAACATCATATCTAACTCTTGCTACCACCAAACACAGATCTGAGGACATCCCATTACGGGTCATGACAGACCGACCTTTCGCGGACTTTGACCGACCAAAGGAATGACTGACAAGAGAGCAACATTAGCCATTTAGATTTTCTCGTGCTTCACTGGTGACTACGCTTTGAAACATAATTTAACAAATACTCGATTACAAATGTAAAATCTGAACAAAAATAAATATCCCGGAATGGGTTAGATCGTACGGATTCAGCCATAAAGCCCATAACTCTCGTTCGGAATGTTACATTTTGTCGAGGTTGCATGATTAGAAAACACCATCCGACTGTCACTTTCATGATCTGGTAACTGACCCCCTGCCTGGTCGGGAGAAAGGTCGTTCTGACGTGACCCGGGCCCGTAGGGGTCCTCTGATCTTTGTTTAGGGGTAGCGAGAACTAAGATCGGATTTTAATTTGATTTGAAGTTTTCTAAACATAAACTGAACAACAAAAGTTCCTGTGACATTGAATAAGATTTAATGCAAAGTTAAGTTTTTTACCAAATCTGAATCAATTTCGGTTTGCAACAGATAAAAGACTCCTGTAAGCGTTCAAATAGTTTAATTTGCCACACTGACTTCAGAAAATGCGTGATTTCATAAAAAAAACTATGAACATGCCAACATTTCAATTTAAAAATCAATAGCGTGTGTGTCCATCTCTGGTTGCGATGCAAACAACACATCTTCGTCTCATGGAATGGACCAGGTGTCGCACAAAGTCCTGTGGGATATCTGTTCATATCTGCTGGAGCATGTTTCGAAGTTCCTGGAGTGTATGTGGAACACGTGGTTGACGTCGAAGGCGCCGATCCATCTCATCCAATATGTGCTCGATTGGTGAGAGATCAGGTGAGCCAGCCGGCCAGAGGATGACATTCACGTTGTTTTGTTGAAGAGAATCCTGAACAAGTCGAGCAATGTGAGGCCGGGCTATGTCATGTTGAAAGGTTATGCCTGGGGCATGACGACGCAAAAACGGTAGAACAACAGGGCCGTTGATCTCGTTGCGGTAGTACTGTCCATTGAGATTTCCCTCTACCACTATCAAACGGGTTCTCTGTCTTGCTGTAACCCAACCCCATACCATAACGCTGTCGCCCCCGAACCGATCTTCTTCCATGACACAATGATTGACGTAACGTTCACCTCGACGTCGGTACACTCGAATCCGTCCATCGCTGTGGCTGAGGTGAAAACGGGACTCGTCAGTGAATAGAACTTGTCCCAACTGCATGGCTTTCCAGCGTAGACGCTGTCTGCAGCACTGTAGACGTGCTTGACGGTGGCTTCCTGTCAAAATGGGACGTCTGGCGGGTCTTCTGGAAACAATCCCTGCACATCTGAGGCGACGACGTACGGTTTGTGAAGATATTCGTCGAAGGCCAGTGATGCTTCTTGTAGTCACTGTTGCTGGCTTGAATCGATTTCGTAGGTGTGTTGTTCGAATCCAGTTGTCTTGTCGATTATTGGTTACGCGTGGCCTGCCACTCCGAGGATGGTCTCTGACTGCATTCGTCTGGTGTTTCTGTGGACGTTAAATTGTCTTGCAACATCACGTTGACTCGATCCTGCTTCAAGCATACCAATGGCTCGCAGACGCTCATTTTCGGACAGGCGTGGCATTTCGTAATGTTGAGTAATTGCGTAATTTTGTTGTTTTTCTGAGTGGTTAGTGTCGGCACGATGCTTAACAATGCATATGGAATCCCGTTAACGCACATGTTTTTATATCAATTCCCGGGTAGTGAAATACATCAGGCTTGCATAAAAGTCAACTTTTGCATAGAATGCATGCTTTTCTGTAGCAGTTGCGTGTTTGTGACTTGATTCCATACATGTACTACAATATTGAAAACCAAACTTTACTAGTTTGAAAAATACACTGAAATTATTGGTGTCACAGGAACTTTTGTTGTTGAGTATACATGTACGAATCCAGTATAATATCATAACTGGATGGTTATGTAGAAAGTGTATATTGTCTTCTTCAAACAAGTCAAACAATGAAAACTTCAAACAATTAACCCAATTTTAACATTAAATTTCTTTTACATCTTTAAGTGTATATTCTTCAGAGACCAACTTGAAGCTGCACATGGGTCAGAAGACATGGGCTGACGCTATGAAGGCGTGTCGTGAGGATGGAATGAGTCTTCTCCAGATGGACACCAGACAGAAGCAACTGGCTGTGATCCTTCATCCCCGATACAACGATTTCAACCTCTATAGTAACTTCTTTTAGCAGTTTGACACATCCCTCGATAAGTGCAGATCATTTTGTCCTATAATGTTTTATTCATTTGTGAGTGTTTCGTATTTTGCCGTCAGCGTTTCCACAACTCACCCAATCACCCAGAATGCATGCTTCTCGTGTTGCAGAGATGTGGCTCGGCCTGACAGACCTGTACCACAACGACTCCTACTACTGGACGAGTGGAGCGCCGATCACCTATGCAGGGTGGGCGTACGGAGAGCCCACTCATGGCAGTCAAGACTGCGTGTATGTTGCAATGAACAGTATGAAATGGACAGACAGTAACTGTGAGAGTAAGAGGAGGTTCATCTGTGAAAAGTAGTTGATGTAATTTCATTTTTAAAAATCTGTGGTGGTTTCAAGTATCATGCACGCAGTCATCTTCTACTACTTTACACTTATTTTGTACAGAGTTTTCATTCATGCCACATGCATTATAAATCTGATAACCATGGCAAAAACGTATCTCACCCTAGAAGATGTACCGGGAATCGGACAAAACTACTAGTTTTGTACAACATCAAAGCTGACGAACCATCTGGCTCTGTCAGAGATCTGATGTACGAGTACGCCACAGTTATGGAATGCTTTGCCATTGAATCTGAGAAACTCTGCTTCTAAGGAAACATTTAGGTCTCTCCTCAAAACTCACTTCTTCACCTCAGCTTTTCAACAGATCTCCTGATTGTTGGCATATGTACATAGACATTACTTTTTAACCTTGTCACAGCGCCAGTGAGCAAATGTCGATGGATATTAGGCGCTTTACAAATCAATTATTATTATTATTATTATTATTATTATTATAATTATATGTTTGTGCGTGTCACCTTTGCCCGACTAATGAGAAGAATAAACCCTTCAACTACCAACCCGCATTACGACTACAAATACTTAGTATCTATTAAATCAAATTTTGGGCCTTTAGGTATTACAACGTGAAAATATGTACCCAAGACCCGATGATGTCTCGTAACGCCAACTCTCATACAACTTGTAATGAAAAATTCCTGTGTCACACACAGTTTAGAAGGGACATTGTGAGCAAGGCGGGTGCACTCCTAATGACGCTACCATTAATACATGAAATAACAGATATATTTAGAGTGTATAAAATCCTGTTATGGACAGTACAATAACCAGATTATCACATATTGTATTTACGATTTTGGTTTATTAGGTCGCTTGTCTCATTTTATATAAGCTTTTGTAACAGACATGCAATTTCAAGTCCGAGTGGGTTCGGGATGAAGGTGTCCCGCAAGGCGGTATTCTGTCTGTCACTCCATTACTGGCACAGGTCACCGATCCCTTCAGCACTTGATTACGGCTCTAACGTCTATGGTTGAGCATGTAAAAGTAATTTACAAGCCTAGATACTATCCATCATCAAGACCCAAATCCTTGACTTATAGCCTTTAGAACGTCTCCCATTGTCTGGGCCACAAGAGATTACTATTTCAAAATTTCAATTTTTTACCAAATTCAAAATTTCAAATTTTTAACAATATCAGGTCTCTTTAATTCTTGGATTTCTTAAGAGATTGTATATACTGATAAGTATTGACGTTCATATTGTTATTTTATAAACTGATAGTGCAAATTAGTAACTTAAATCGTTGGCGGCTTTGCTCTCCAGAGAAGGCGTGAAATCATTGTCCCCTAAGAGAGTATGTATAAGTTCCACGTCGTTCAAAATAATTTTATGATCGCCTGAACTTTACAAGTAGTATACTTGTGATTTTACATTGATGGCCTACAATCGCCAGCGGCTGAGGGAGTTGTAAATACTCTGCATGTGAATCGGGTATTGTAAGTCCTCACGGTCTCTGGTATGGATGCTGGCGATCAGTATCCCCTTTTTAATATTGTGTTGTTATTATGAACATGTACCTGGTATTTGATGGTGGGGACACGTGTTGCCCAGTTGTCTAAGGCGCCGCGATTCGCTGTGCAGAGGTGCATCCCTTGGGCACGCCAGAAACCTATGATTGTGGGTTTGAATCCCGGTTCGCAGAAGTATTGTAAGTCCTCACGGTCTCTAGTATGGTTGCTGGCGATCAGTATCCTCTTTTCCATATTGTGCCGTTAATTGATAGTTTATTCTTTTGCATACTGAAACAAGTTTTAAATACAATACATGATAATCTAGTTATTGTACTGTCCATCGATGACATGATTTTTATACACTCTAAATGTACGCGTTATTCATGTATCCTTTTGTCTCGTCACGATATATTACCGATGTGGCGTAAAATGTTTTCGCTCCGTTCTGTGAGTTTCATTCGTTCGTCTGGTTGTTATTGCAGCTTTGATATGTCTTCTAGTAGCAAGTCATTACTAGCGCCAGAGATGTATATCACATCGGGTGTTTTAGATAAAGACTTGATCTGTGTATAAGCTAAGTTCCGCACTCTTTCGCATAGTTTGAAAATACAAAAACTGCGTTATAGTAAAAATAAAGTGAAAACAAATGTTGACCAGCTGATGCTATACTGTGACAGTGTGATGAATTAGTTGTTGAGGACGAGGACCATTTTGTACTAGTCTGTTCATACTATAAGCAAAGTAGAAATACACTTATTCCACAATATTACCATAAACATCCTTCTCGTCAAAAATTAATTGAACTAATGTCCTCTACAACACATTCAACAATCAAAGGTCTTGCTTGGTAACTAAAGAGAAATTTGAAAAACACAAGAAACAAACAAACATAATTATGTAGTATGTATTACGTCACATATCATGGAAACATTGTAAGTGAACTGTGTGAGATCCACAAATAAATTAGATGTAAATGTATTGTACTCTGGGCCACGAGGCCTCCAATACTGAAATAAAGAATCTCTAGCAGCTCTATGTTTATGAAATGGCATGTAGTAATAACCCTTCAGTATTGTCTCCGATACCTGCTGAGATATAAAATTTGGCCGTAATATAAATGTGTTGTTCAAACCTTGTCTCCCCTTTCTTGGAATATGTTATTATTTAAGTTCATGATACGAGAGAGATAACATTGTGGTGTAGTTTCATAACTGCAACTACGAAGAGCTCTGTTAAACATCGTAGGAGCCAAAGTTGGCAAAATGAACGGTGGGATGTGTGAAAGATACGAAGGGTACAAGGAGTGTCCTCCACACATCCCCCCCCCCCCCCCCGTCAAATACCAGGTGCATTATGAACATGTACCTGGTATTCAATGGTGGGGGCACGGGTGGCCCAGTCGTCTAAGGCGCCGCGATTCGCTGTTCAGAGTTGCATTCCTCTGGCACGCCAGAAGACTATGATTGTGGATTCGAATCCCGGTTCGCCCCGATTATGTTTCTAGGTTTGTCAGAAACATACCCGTGCTCGTGGGTTTCATCGAAGTGGTAAACGTCTGAGACCTGCATCACTTCGGGCTCTCCTCCCACATTAAGCTGACACGCCGCGATATAACTGGAATACTGTTAAACGCGGCGTTAAACACAACTCACTCACTCACTCATAATGAATTTTGCGCAGCTAAAAGAAAATAGAATAATGGCATGAAGGCATGAATGGAAATCATCAATTTGAAATGTAATCTGCTTCTTAGGTCTTGCAGTTTACATATACCGTAAGTCCGGTTTGTGTTCGACATGTCTTTCATAATACCCCCGTAGTCACAATGCAACGAGGTCCGTCGCTCCAACAGCATGGCTCGCTATATACAATGTTTATTCCTAACACAGGATATAAACCTTCTCCAAACACACTCGTTAATAACCTCTATATATATATGCAAAATACTATCTTCTATATTGTTCAGATTTATATATAATATATATTGTGTTAACCGCATAGAGTAATATATAAATCCGAAGGAGGACTTAATGAGGTAAATGCACGAGGTAAGACAATATCAGGATGACATGTATACACCGCCTCCGGTGAGAGTTATTGTTTGTTTGTTGTTTAACGCTGTCGTTTAAACACTAAGCAATATTCAAGCTATATGACAGTGGTCTGTAAATAATCGAGTCTGGACCAGACAATCCAATGATTTATATCCCCCACGTTATACATGTAGATCCAAGGATAACACCACAAAGAGTATGATTGACCATATGGTACCCTCGTGAATAAAAGTCCAGGTTACCGATCTCCATGTTGTACATACATGCCATTATAAGTAGTCAGATCACCTCCCATGTTTATTATCTATGTCATTGAGAGCCTTTGCTCAGATGTATTTTCTATCTATCAAGGTGTTGGTCAGGGACGTGTATTATCTGGCTGCTTTTCTCATTTGTCAGCTTGATTGTCCTGGCTACGGCCTCCGCTTAGAAGACGATGCAACAAGTAACCAGTTGTTAGTAGCGCTCCATCAGCACTGCAAAACCTGCCATATATTGCACACAATTAACCGTGTTGATGGCGTCTGATTTATAATGTAATAAAGGTGCAGTGGTAGTGTTTTCGTGTGTGGAAAGATAGAATTGCTACACAAGAATCCTTTAACGTATGTAGGGGTATGCCTTAGAAACAGTATCTCAACCCTGGAGCGCTCGCGTATTGAATGTGAAAAACGGAAAAGACTTGTCAATGTAAACCATAACAATACTTTGTATTTCGGTTGAACCAAATTGCAGCTGTGCGAATACTACAGAGAGTTGTCTTGCAATGTGCCTTATATGGATGCAATGTATGGGGGCAACTTACTGGTAGAGAGTATGAATCGCTGGAAATACCACAGCGCTACTTCAGTAAGAATGTACAGGATGTACCCAGACTTACATCAAGCGAAGATGTATTGGATACTCTAGATCTTATAACCATTCAGTCATACATAGATAATCAATATATAAACTCTGCTCTTATTTGGTAAACTGTGTCGATCTAGCTGTGACATCTATTCCAAACAACTATTTATTGCCAGACTTTGGCAGACTTTGGCAGACAAATGTTATAAATCTCCCTTTTTCAAAATGCTGCGCCTTGTACATAAATACGATATTGTCCATGTCTTGAATGATTACATAGCTAATTGTAATGTTCCCAGTAAATGTAAATGGACTAGTCTTGTGAAGGAAAATATAAGAAATGTGGATTTGTTTGTGAAACAAATATGCGACCGACAGGACATGTTAAGATATATTAGTATCAGATCAGAAGGTGAACACAGCATTTGGCAACTTTCTCTACGCTTTCCTTCAAAGTGAGTGTCATTGCGGAACTGTAGCCAATGACATAGTCAAACACATTTTTATGTACTCTTACTATGCAAGAAAGAAATGAAATGTTCGAAAATATATTTGATATCACAGATGCGAATTGCTTTGTTGACCTTTGGCCGAA